ATACGTGAATCCACCTTCTCTCCCTGGAATGAACCCCACTTGATCATGATGCACTGTTTTTAATATGTTTTGGTATGTGATTTGCCAGGATTTTATTGAGAATTTTTGCATCTATGTTCATGAGGGATGTTGGTCTGAAGTTTTCTTACCTTGATGTGTCTTTCTCTGGTTTTGGTGTCAGGGTGACACTAGCCTCATAGAATATGTTTGGAAGGGTTCCCTCCTTAATGACCATCTGGGACCAAGTTTTTTTTTGTTGTTGTTGTTGTTATTTTAATTATAGAGGACCCCAGTCCAATCTAGGTTGAATTTTTACATTGATACTAAAGGAAATTTCTCAGTACTTGGAAGTTCTATTTGCTGTTGTATTTAGTTGCAGGTTTTGCTTTAGGATGAATTTTTGGTTCCCCAACAACTGACAGAATAATACCATTACCTAAAACTATCCTCTCCTGGAAGAGTGTCCATGTTTAGCAAATAAAATACAAGATGCCCAATTCAACTTGAACGTCAGTTCAACAGTGACTGGTATTTTAGCATAAGTATGTCTCCAAAACTTCATGGACATACTTACGCTGATGCTGTATCATAAGCTGAAAATATCACAAGTTAGAACAGCATTAAAGGCACCTAGCCCAGCCAAAGGCCTGGCTTAGCCTCTCCTGACTCGAATGTGTGAAGAACATTAGCTACAGTAGGGCCATGTTGTCTGGCATGAAGCCTGTTTTGTGGTAAAGGGCTCTATATCTCATGTGCACAAACGGAGGGAATTCCACAGACACAATGGGTTAGAAAACACAAACACAATGCCCCAAACAGGCTGCATCTCAGTGTCCCCTAGAGGATGTGATGTGTAGCAGCTACAGCTTGCTCCCACTGTCTGGCATCTCAAGAGTGGGGTACCCCTTGTCAGTAGTCCCTGAAAAGATGCAAAATCAAAATTCCAAGTACAGGTTCCACTGAATGAGTATGACTTTCAAACCTTCATTAAATTTAAAAAAATCCTAAGTTGAGAATCATTGTACATTGGAGACGGTCCATACTTAAGTTTATCAATTCAAAATTCAGATTTCAGTGAGTGACCTGGATTTGGCCTGGCAGTCCCATCTCAGGCACTGGGCCAGGCTTAGATAGAGGACCTTTCTGCATCCTCTGAGAAGCTCCAGAGCTCCTTGCCAAGGAGAGGCCATAAGTAACCTCAGAACCCGACGGAACTGGACTGTCTCAGGCGGGAGCGGGCTGGTCAGGTGGGACCCTGGAGCTGCCCTCTTTGTGCCATCAGAGCCTGCTTGCCCTTCATCAGTGTACACACAGACTGGCCAGAGGAAGCCAGGTGCCAGCACCCATGTACCAACTTGCAGGCTTAGCCACAGGGTCGACAGCCAGTGGTCACCAGGGCCTCCTCCTTGGTGAGCTCAGCAAGATCATAACAATTCAAGTTCAGAACTCCACACTCACTAATCACATCTCAAAGTGCTTTGCAATCCATTGAAACCGATGCTGAAGTCAGCCGAGCATGCTCTTTTACCTACACTCTTCCCTGGGTTCCCGTCTACACCAGCCATGGATTTTGATTCTCTATTGTCTTTTGGTTGAGAGCTGATCATCGCAGTGTAGCTCACGAGCATACAGATTCTGTTCCGTGTTTTTTAGGTGAGTCTGTCTGAATCCTTGCTGTCAGAATAATACTTGTTACTTCCATCACGATTTTCTCTTAAGATCTTTGGATTGGGGTTCCATAAAATTTGAACATTCCGTTGGAAATTGTGTCTGTGATGTTGTTTTTTAAATGCCATTTCAGAGATGGATTATTAAATTTTATATGGGGAAATGTTTTGAGTGGATTATCAGTTTACTCCATTTGCCAAATATCAATTCAGGGTCATAAAGATGATGAGGCAGAGAGACGGATTTCAGGAACCCTCGGTTATCTGACATATAACACAGCCACCCCAGAGCAGAGCTCATGTGAGAAAATCACAGAGGTTATTGGTTATTAAGCAGGACTAATTTTATTTTCTTATAAAATGTGGGTAGGGCAAAATGGTGTCATTTTATTGTCACAGATGCTATGTAAAAGTTGTCGTGTAACATGTGAACATAACCAAGGGGCTACGTAACTTCACATTTATCTCCAGCTCTATTTAAATGTTTTAAAATAAAATTGTAGATGTTTAATGTCATAGACATATTACATAGAAATGTGTGTATTATAATAGTGAAAGGGCACCTTACCTACATCCCTCTTGTAACTCTCCAGCCATCTTGCAAGGTAGGGTCCCTGCTTCATTTTATAGATGAGGAGAGACTCAGAGATACTGACTAGTGTGCCCAGGGGCGCGCTGATGGTTTAGGACAGAGTGCAGCTCCCGTCTGGCTGATGGGGTTTCATACATTCTCCCACTCGTTAGCTAAAGGAGCATCAGGGTGATGTGATGATATGTGTAAACTTCTTCTTTTCAAAAAGGGATGAGAAGTAGCATCACCTAATATAAAACAAACCCAGGGAAAAACACAGAAGCCCAGAGAGCTTAGGAGTTGATATCACACGGCAGTGGGAAATTACTTTAGGTGAGTCCAGGTACAGCTCTGAGTTTCCTAGCAGCAAAATAAAAAGGGAACAGCCAATTGAATTCCATATTTCTTTTTGTCTTAAGAATGCAATGGTGTGCCAGGTACAGTGGCATAAGCCTGTGATTCCAGTGATTCGGAAGGCTGAGGCAGGAGGATTGCAAGTTTGAGGCCAATTTTAGCAACTTAGGGAGAACCTCTCACAACCGGAAAAAATAAAAACCGGCTGGGGATGTGGCTCCGTGAAAGAGTGCTTGCCTAGTGTACACAGGGCCTAGGTTCCATCTCAGTACCACCAAAAAGAAAATGCAGTTGCAGGCAGGGTGGTGTGGCAAAAGACAAACTTAGCTGCAAAGGTGTCCTTTTCCTTCATGAATCTGATGGAGGAATTTGTGGCCTAGTTTTTGTTGTTGTTGTTGTTTTATTTATAGAGAAATGAGTTAATCCGATAAATATTTCTGTACTTCACGTTTGGTTTCCTAGATATACAGTGAGTTTCACGGAGAGAAATTCTGACTGAGGCTGAGCTGCATTTGAGATCGCGAATTATCATTTTTCAGCAACGTATTTTTGCGTATATAGATACAAAAATGTTTGCATGGACTTTGTAACATGAGCCATCTTTATATGCTGAGACATGAACACTAAATTGCAACTCGTTGAGGCCCTTTACGCAACAGGCTGACAGTCTGGTCCAGGAAGCGCCAGTCTCGGGCAGGAGTCAGCCAACGTGCTTCTGAAGAGCCAGGTAGAAAAGATCTGAATGTTCGTGAGCTGGAGGTCTCTGTGGCAGGTGTCGACCTCTGTTTGTAGCACGACAGGCCGTAGGGCATCCGTGGAGGAGTGTGGCTTGGTGCCAAAAAAATTTGTTTACAAAGCAGGCCGGAGGCCAGATCTGGCTTGCTGGCCCTTGTCTGCTGAGCCCCCTCTAATGTAAGATGGAGCGTGGGGATTAGGGCCTCCATGCTTCATCTGGAGAACGCTGTGGGCAGGCGAGCCCTCCCAGATGCTGGGCAGGGCAGACATGGCTCTCCACGATTACTAGAGCTTCATTCTGTAACCAGACAGAAGGGAGTGCATGCTGCCAAGATGTGCCCACGGTGCAGAGAGACCCGCGCTGGGCCCTCGACAGGGCCTCCACCCAGGAGCTGGGGGCAGGAGAGCCGCAGCCGAGAAGCTCCGAGTCCCCCCAGAGGAAGCCGTGCCTTTCCCCACTCCTCCCATCAAAGGAGGCACCTTTTTCTAATTTGTCCTTCAGGAGGGAGGTCTTTTTCTAATTCCTATGAGGGTGTGGTGTGGGCTCATGGAGACCCAAGAACCTGACTCATATCCTGCCCATTTCTGCGGGCTGCGGCCCAAAGAGCAACATTTGCATGGCCCTTTTTAAAAATTAATTGGAAGCCATTGGGTTTGGCGCCATCTTTGTGGGAGCAGACAGCTTCAGGCCTGAACTGGATTAAGGGTGGCTGTTAACAGTTGACGGTGGCACCCAGAACACCAGAAGGTCACGCTTACCCCTCTGATTGATGATGGCTTTAATAAAACGCCGCAGGCATCTTTGAATCCCAGCCCTCCAAAATGCCCAGGGAAACTACGTAATGTGGACAGTGGGTCATGATTCTTAAGGGGGCCCAGTGCTGCCCTTTGGATGTCCATACTTGTTTTCTGACAAGATTTGCCATTCAACTCTGATCAATTGTGCAAAAGTCATGCCTATTCCATGCTCAGTCTCCATACGAGATCCATGAAGGCTGTGTTGCAGTTGGTTAACAAGACCCCCACAGATGTGTTTTGTTTGCAGGGTTAGTTTTATTATTTCTATTATTTTTAAAATCTTCCTTGACATTGAAATAATCCTGAACCACATAGAGGAAAACCTGCCGCTCCTGTGTGTCCTGGCCTCCGTGCATACTGAGAAAGAACTGTCACCAGCCAGGGTTCTAAAAATACACCCTTCTGCATTTTATTCTAGTATTGTTTTGTTTTGTTTTTATTTAACTCTTTAGTTCGCCCAGAGTACAGTTTGGAATAGATTGTGAGGTAGGGGTTTGACTTCTCTATCAAAATGGTTGACCAGTTTTCTCTCATGTATGCCCCGTCCCATCGTATCTCAGAATGCACGAGAGGCACTTCATGGGTCCTTGAGAGTGTGGCATGCAGATGTACTAAAAAGATGTTGATCCCAAACAGTGTGGAGGCGCACACCTGAAATCACAGCTACTCGGGAGGCTGAGGCAGGAGGATGGCAAGATGGAGGCCAGCCTGAGCAGTTTACCAAGACCCTGTCTCAAGATGTTAAAGATGCCTGGGGCTGTAGCCCAGGGAGCAGAGTGCCCACCTAGCCAGTGCAAGGCCCTGGGTTCCATGCCCAGTACTGATAAAAAGAAGTGTTCATCTCAGATTTGATTTAATTTTCACTGTTTCAACAGATTCATTCAAAGTGAAGCTGAGGTTTTCCACAGTGAAATGTCTGACGAGAGAGCAGCACCCTCCTCCATGACTTCTTCGGTCCAGCAGACATGCCCACCACCGTCCTCATGTCATCCACGCAAACAGTGATGTGGTAAAGAAGGAGAAAGGGCAAGCACATTTTAGCATCGTTTTCAAAATGATTCTGACCTTGCAGGCCTTCCCCAAAGGGTCTCAGGGACCGTGAGACCACCAGGTTTCGTCACAGTGACTTAACAGTGCCGGGCTTGGCATGGCGTCCCTGGTACCCAGCACAAAGTCAGACCTCAATTCATATTTATGGAGTATTTGTTCCTGGCTCAGGAAGACGCTCCCGTGGCAATGACGCTGCCCCAGGTGGCCGTGGGACCTCAGCAGAGCTGTAAGTTAGCGTTTTCCACGCCCCTCACCCCCCACATCTGCGGGTTCCCTGGGTCCTGCTGGTGGAGACGGGGGTTCTGGCACCAGGTCTCTGTCAGCCGTCCAAGTGTCTCTCCTTTGCCCTGGGCCAGTACACTAGCCAGCGTCGAGTGCAGGCCCTTCCATGGGCCCTCGGAGACTCTGGGAGAGTCTCTCTGCTACTTCCTTCCAGGTATTTTTGCCAACACAAGTCAGATGGCCACGCCCCAGGTCAGGGGGCTGGGAGGCCCACATGGCCACTATGAGCTCCCAGCAGAGATGTGGATGCAGGGATGTGGGGGTGTAGGGTTGAGGCCACCTGCTCACAGGGGGACCAGAGTCTTCCTGCTGTGAGAACTGAAAATCCCACATCCCCTCTGTCCCTGGCAAATTGGAATCATTGGTGCTGTAGCTTGGATCTTAAGTGACCCCAAAAGCCTATGTGGTAGAGGCTTGGCCTCCATTGTGGCATCAGAAGGTGGTGGGTCCTTTAAAAGGCGGGGCCTAGTGAGAGATCTTCAGGCTGTTGGGTGAGCCCTGGAAGAGAGCAGTGGGACCCCAGTCCCTTCCTCTTCTCTTTTCTCATTTTGGCCATGAGATGAGGGTCTGCCCTGCCATCTGAGCTTGACATGATGTGCTGCCTCACCATAGGCTCAAAGCAGCAGTCAGTAGGCCACAGCCTGGAACCTCCAAAACTGTGAGCCGAGATGAACCTTTTATCATTGTAAATTGATTGTCTCAGGTGTTTTGTTGTAGTGACAAAATACTGTTTAACACAAGTGATCATCTTAACCAGTCTGCAGTACACTTCAATTTGTAAGCAAGTAGAGAATGTTATACTATAGGAACTGGTCTCACTTTAACATTTTTCTTCTCTTTTGAGCACTTGGGACTTTAGATCAAAACATCGAGAGTTGTCTGGTCTGGGAGAGTGGTAAATACTAAGTATCCCAGGCCTCCTTAGATGAAAATATTCAATGCAAAACCTTTGCTTATAATGGATAGGATGTCTCAAAATACATCTTTCATCAATATCTTGACTCTCCATTTACAAAACACATATTCCACATGTATAGAATCATCAGATCACATGTGAATATCATACATTTTGCTCTAAGAGATTTTTAAACCATGTATTAAGAAAATACAATTTTAAATATATGCATCCTGTATCATGTACATGTGACAAACTATGGTAGGAATCTCTTAGATTTGCAACTATCTTTTACCATTTTCTTCAATTTGGCTCATTTGGACCCTTCATCATACAACTATAAAAACAAGATGATATTGTCACTGGTGCTATGTAACTGGCATCTCACTGGGCCAGGGAGAGCGCATCTCAAGGTGTGGCGTAAGCGAGGGATGTTTATGGAGTACTAATGACCTTGGGCATTGAAGCTGAGAGACGGAACAAATTCATGGGGTTCCACTGTCTTTAGCAGTTACAACGCAAGGGGGAAATGATGAGTCAGCTAGAGCATGCTCTGAGAATTGAGCCCTGCATGGGGAGACAGCAGAACCACCCGGGAGTGGAGAGCCACCTGCCTGTTTCTAGGAGTGGGGATGAGAATGACCAACATGGACGGCCCTGCATTGCCCTTGAGATATGGGACCTGCTGTTCAGAGAGGCACTTCCCATGGGTGGTTTTCCCATTATGCAGTACATCTCTCCTCATCCTTCTTCAGGGAAATTATCTGTAATGCGTTAGACCTGCTCTATAATTCAGGTGGTAAATAACAGTGTTGCACGAGTTCAAAAGAGGCTTCAAAAAAGCCACTGGTGCTTAGAAAGAGGCCCTATTAAAAAATGTAGAAGCCGGTGCATCTGCTCTCACCCTCCAACCAAGATGAAGATTTATTCCAAAGACAGAAAGAGGCTTCGATGGAAATTTATCAAAATGAAATCATTAGACATACGCTGGGCTTTGAGCCTGTTGTCATTCACGGTCACTCTGGGCACGAGTGATTGACTATTCAGTGCAGAAGAATAAAACCTCACCGTCCCAACACCACCAAGATCTCTGTGTAACTGAGGTTGGCTGCCCCAGTCCTGATTATTTAGAGCAACTTGAAGAGGAGCTTGGAGCTGGCAAAGGCTTGTGGGTGGGTATATTTAAACCTCACCTCAGCCCTGGAAGTTAGTGAAATACTTGTTCTCATTTTACAGATGAGCAAGTGGCTCAGAGTGCCCAGGTGATTTGGCCAACATAACATAGCATCCGTGTTGGGATCCATACCGTGACCTTGGATCCAGGTCTCTGTCTGTGCTTACTATAGGGTAGAAAGTTTGACCCCCTCAGAGGCTTCCTCCGAGGTCCTTTGACATCTCCTCCTGCAAGCTTCCGTCACGTGATTCACATGTCTTTCTCGCCCAGCTTCTAGATGGTACGTTCCACGACTGCTGGGCTTTGGCCAGTGTGGGTCATTGTGTGAGGTCCAGGGAGAACCTGGCCCACAGAATGTGCCCTAAGAATGTTCACTGGATCCATGAAGAACAGGAGGAAGGGCCTTCAGTGAACCCAGAAGATGGACCTGGCTCCCATTAAATCACCTCGTAGTGGGCAGGGGGTCCCTCCCCTTCTCAGGCCCCTCTCCCCCATCTCACCCCGTCTCCTCCAGGCCCTGCCCCCTCCAGGTTCCTGCTCCCTCTTGAGTGCACAGGAGGAGGCCCCACCGCTCGGACCTCAGAGCAAGGCCCCCAGAGCACTCTGCTGCCTCCCGGGCACTGGACGCCTCTCCAGACTCAGCCTCCTCCGTGGCCATTGCCCGTCACCTCCTGTCTCTCTTCTGTTGTCTCCAAGACCACGTTCCATAAAGAAATGTTCCATAAAGCACAAGAGAAGAGAGCTCTAAGGGCCTCAGTTTTATACTCACAGACGCAGCTACACCAGGCTGCAAGGCGGGGACTGAGGGTTTCAGGAGTGAAGTGTCCCCAGAAAAGGGACATTCAGTGTCTTTGATAGCTACCCATAGTAAGCAAACCACTTGCCATTGAGATCTAGCACAGCTCTCCTCTGTCTCTCTCACCGTCTCTGACACACACACACTTGTATTTCTGAAACAAACATTGATGAAACAATAGCGGTCGATATCTGCAGGGTTGCCTTCTGGCATTTTCTGTTCTATTCTATGTGAGTTTTTAAAACATCAGTCAAGCCCAGTATAAGGGTGAACACCTGTATTCCAGCTACTTGGGAGGCTCAGTCAGGAGGATCCCAAGTTGGAGGCCAGCCTGGGCCAACAGTGAGACTCCACCTACCTACATAAATGGATAGATAGGGTAGTATCTTCCTTGCATACCTCCTCCTCCAGGACACAGCCGGCAGCAGAATCCCAGGCCTCACACAAGCCCCCAAGCTAGAGTATCACCCATGCTTCCCCAGCCCACCGTGTGGGTGTGGAACACCATGTCGTCGTAGGCTGGCACTTCCCTGCTTGGTGAACACAGGACGGTTGACTAAACAGCGGTGTGTAAGGGAGGATGGACTGTGTTGCCCTGCATGCTATTGGTGTCTTCAGTAGGAGAATTGAAACTGATGACCGTAGCAGGAAAAAGGTTGAACATAGTCCCTACTCTTTCCCCATCGAAGAAGTTTCCGAGGCCTGCACTCTGGTGAGCACAGAAACTGACTTGTCTGCAAAGTGAGTTTACAGAGTGTCCCCCACACCTGTGGACCCCAGCCCTCAATCCAGCTACCACAAGATACAGCACTTTGTAACTAAATGTCAATCCCTGAAAGGTGTATCCTCTGCCCAAACAGGGTTATGCCCACTGAAGGGGTGCCCCAGAGCAGGGCAGCCCATGACAGTGTGCAGGTTTTAGATCAGACTGTAGCACAAGGGGCTCTCAATGGCTGGAGCAGAGCTTATAAGGATGTGGGGCGAGGGCCCTCCTGATTCCAGACCCACCACGTCATCGTCATGGGCTGGCTCGGCAGTCCTTACAGGCACAGGTGAAGGGAGGGCGACAGGTGTTGTGACTCTCAGGATGCAAATATGGAACCTGAGCTCAGAGGGCTGGTCCACCCAGACAAAGCAGCTCTGCTTCCCATGTCCACTTGCAAGAGGGGCTCCGGCCCCAGGGCTGCGGTTCCGGGACGTCAACTCCCCACAGTGTGTACTACCAAAGGGCCAGAAGTAACGTAGGGTCCTTTGGAAGAGAAAAAGTTGGACAGATCTCCTATGTCCACCTGTGAAAGATCATGCAGTTATCTGAAATAAGAACTTAACATCTATAGATACTCAGAAAAGCAAGTTGGAGAAAAATTGTATTGCATCATCCCATTTTTTTATTTAAAATAAAGGAAGATATGCATTTAGGTAAAATTACTTGCAGGTGTCCACAGGAGGTTGGCAAAAGATAGAGATGGATAGATACTAAATTATTAATATTGCTTATTTGATGACAGATGTGCTACAGCAATAGTCAAGAGAGATAGAAGGATAGATAATTGGATTTTTTCATTATAGGATTTCATTTGTTTCCAAAAACAATATCTTGCCATTTAAAAGTTATGAAAATATTGAAACAACACTAGAAAATTATTTTTTTTCTTCTAGTTCTGTTTTAAGTGCAGTGATCCTCCCAAGGTCACCTCAGTTGGGAGACTGGTGCACATTTTGACCCCAGGGTATGTCATTGCAGAGACGCCACCAGCGTCTCTTCTGCATCAAGCATGTGTATGATTTTGCATCCAGAAAACTAGTGTTGGGTGAACACACATAGCAAAGAACAGAATAATGACATGCAAAAATACATGGCCCAAAGTATTGTTGCTTCCTCAGTGTTTAATGCAAATTTAAACATGTGAATCAAAGACTGCAATGTTGAGGAACACAGTGCCGGTGGTATTTGGCAATAAAATAATAATCACCGTGTGTATCTCTGATGAAATGAGATTTAATCCATTTGTGTTCCTAATTGTCTGCCACACTACATTAGAGATGGATACCTCTATTGTCTCCACCACTTGGAAATATGAAATTCAAAGCAATATGCCCAATGTCTCGAAATAAGCTGGCTTAATGAACCAGCAAATTAGACCTTTCTATCTCTTTATTTAACATCCAGTTCCATGAATGTATCTGAGTTCATTACAAAGGTACAAAATTTAAAGAAATGTGGCTAAATTCATTTGTGATTAGAACGAATGACTTTGAAAAGGATTTTTAGAGAGAGCCTATTATTTATTATTGAATTTATATGAAGTGGGGTGATAAACGTTTATCTTTTTTCAATTCTGTTTTATAGTTTGGCTTTTGTAATGCAGTCACCAAAAAAGAAAAAAAAATCATCGCAAGTAAAGAAATCAACTCCTCCCCCCCAACAATGACAGTCAGAAAAAACATTGGCAAATATTCCTTTGTGACCTGCTGTCAATGGTTCTGAATGGGAGGGGGAGGACTTTGGTTAGCCCTAGAGGTCATATGGCAAGGGCACACTCACTCCTGGGGCAGTGGGTACTGCTTATATCCCGTGGTGCAGACCAGGGATGCTGATAGACCCCCTGCAATGCCCAGCACAGCCCTGAAGCACAGGGTCATCAGGCCTGTAGGGTCCATGGGACTGGACCCGGAAACCTGAGCTCAGGGAACGTGTCTCATTCAAAGAATGTTCCGCCTCCTTCAGTGTCTTCTAAAATGAAATTGTTTTCCACCTTGTCACAGAGGCTGAGAGCAAGGCCAACTAAAGCATGGATCTGGTTCAAATTACTTTTTTTCCCCCAATAATTACAGTAATGATGACTTTAGCATCTGCAATAAAGATGATAGATCTCAGTGCCACAGTGCATCCCTTGAATCTGGATTAGGGAAGTGACTTTAATTGGCCCGAACATTTGTATTATCTTCAAAAGAGAGATCTTTCCCATTGTAAACCCAAAGCATCTGATGATCTAACAGGCTTCAAAACATTGGCATATTGGCTCAAGGTGTTTCAAAGAAATCTATTTGGTTTTCTGATGCAGATGAGAGAAGTCAGTAATCAGAGGGTTTCTGAGTCCAAGGCTGAAGTAGAAATTAGTGGAATTGCTGGTTCACTTGAGCCTGCATCTGCTTGGGACTTATGGTCTACAGTCACCTCAAGGTAGAAATTCCACACTTTCCACGGAGGTAAGTTTGATTTCAGTATCACAGAATTTCCCTTTTAATATTGTGGACTTAGTTGAGCTCTTGTTTTACTCTCTCTCATAGGTCTATGCGAGGAATCTAGTTAATCTGATAGAATTCAACCCATGGTAACAAATGATCACACTTTTTGTAGGCCTTATTTATTTAAGGAAAAGCTCATCAACATGAGGTATCATAAAGAAGAAGAAGAAAAGAATACGGAAATCATCCTCATCCAAAAGAAAATAACGTAAGTATCACAAGTAAGGAAATATGAGGATCCTAATCTGCTAAACTTCCTAGGAACTAGGTGGTTCTAAAGGAAACCTGGTTATGAATACTTACATGTGTTGGTGTGTTCTTCTGTCTGTTAGCTAGAACAAATATGATGGAAACATTCATGAGGTCAGGGTTGTGTAAGGCCGTATCTCCCTTCACAGGAGGTAAGGCTTAATGGTTATATGCTTAATGTCATGTATTTTAGGAAAATAAATGTTAGTAGTATGTCAACAAATGGCTTCACCAGTATTACTACACTCAAAAGTGACAAAGTTGGGCTGGGGCTGGGGCTCAGTGGTAGAGCGCTTGCCTTGAACATGTGAGTACAGGGTTTGATCCTCAGCACCATGTAAAAACAAATAGAATTGTTTTTTAAAGTAATGAATTCAACCTTAATCTTAGACCCAATTCTGTCTAAAACCAAATATCAAGTGAATAGGACAAGTGGTGCTCAGATGTAGCAAAAACTGCAGCTGGTGCCCAAATGAATGAGATTCTGAGGCCATCATTCTGAATGTTCTCCTTGCATAAAATCAGAGATGAGCAAATAAGGACACAGGTGAGGGAACTCAGCACATGTCCTCACAGTAGATTTGACAATTACTGCAAGAATTTACTGGCCCCTTGTGATGAGCCCAATGACATCTACCGAGTGGGTGCTCCAGGGTATTGCAGGGATTTGGCTTGTTTGTGATTTCTTTAATCCGTGCAACAGCCCCTTAAGTGGGCTGTTAACACGTCCTAAGCCAGTGCTGGGTGAAGTCACGTACGGGCTTTAGGGTTTCCTCTCAACATTACTCAGTCCTGCATCTCTTGTGATAAAAACAAGTGTCGCACCCTACAGCAGGCCATTTCATGTACATCTCACTTAACTCTGCTGAGCTCTAACCCTGGCGTCCATGGGCAGACCAGGTCAGTTCTCTATAAGTTGTAGAGAAGGAAGAAATCCCAGTGAAGTTCATCCCAGTGAAGTTGACTAGGCCATGGTCCCCAGATGTTTGCTTAAACACTGTTCTTTGATATTCTAGCATATATTTCCCTGGAGGTATTTTTTTTTTAAGATGAATTTTACATTTAAGAAGGTAAACTTCAAGGAAAGCAGTTGTCCCTTCACAGAGTGGGTGGGCCTCGCCCAATTCGTCAAAGATCTTGAGAGAGAAAAGACTGGTTTCCCTGGGAGGGGGAGCAGGGCCTCTGCTGCAGGTGCGTCCGGCCTGGAACGGCAACACCAGTTCTCTCCTGGGGCCCAGCCTGCTGGCCCACACTGCAGACTGGATGTGCCAGTTTCCACCGGCACCCGGACCAACTCACATCTCCGTCTCTGTTCTTCGTGTGGGTCAGAGCTGTTAGCTGATGTATGCAGAACTGTTTCTCTCTCCCACGTGTGTGCATGACACGTGGACATGCATGTGTCTATGCATGTATCTGTACACAGCTCCTCACTGCCTCTGTTTCTCAGAGACCCAGCCTTGTGCCCTGTAGGATGGCCATGGCAGTGTCTGTTTTGCATAGTATTCAGCACTTCAAACAGGATCTCACCCACGCTTCAGAAGAGCCCAGTGCTCACAGCTCACCTTTTTACAAAGACAAAGCTGAGCCAAGGCCGGCCAGTTGTTTGCCCAACCTGTCGACTGCCCCTCCCCCACTCACACCCTCCCCCAAGGGATCCCCATCATTGTCTGATTTACTATAAAAATACTGGGACCGCTGACCCTATGCCAGGTGACATAGAAGGATTTATGTGACTGAGTTTTGTTTATTTTTAAAGAAGTTTTGATTGACAGATAATTGTCTACATTTACAATGTCATATGTTTTAAAAATTCATTTATTTTAATTGGCACATAAGGAGTGCATATCTTTATGGGGTGAAGTGCTGTCTTCATACATGTGTACATTGTGTAATGTTCAAATTCGGGGTGAACATATCTATTGCTTCAGACGTTTATCAGTTCTTTATAGTGAGAGCATTCAAAATCCTCTCTCTAGCTTTTCTGAAGTACATACAACATTGACATTCTCTGGCCACGTTGCTTTACAGCAGCACCTGGAACTTCCTGTTGTGGTGTAGCTCTCTGAGTACCCACCGGCCAGCCTTCTCCATCTCTCCGGCCCCAGCCCCTCTGACCACCTGCCCTCAGCTTGTATGAGATCAACCCCCGTGTTCCACACGCACCACGTAGCATTTGTCTGTCTGCCCTGGGCTTACTTCACTTGCCGTGATCTCCAGTTCCATATATGCCGTTCCAAATGACAGGACATCATAAAACGGCCAAGTCATAGTCCACTGTGGGCATGTGACACATTTTAAAATCTCTGTCCATCCGGCGATGGGCTCTTCGACGATCCAGCCTGACTTCTTCGAATAAGGAACTGCTTAGTGAATGGAGCTCACCCGACAGTTCACCAGGGGCCATCCCCAGTGTCCTCTGTGCAGAACGGCTTCTAAAATAACGTGGGTTCAAAAGCTTCCAAGGAATATTTTTACAGTCTGTTCCACTGGATGATAGAGGGAAAGGGGCCTCAGCTGGTGATGTGTCTCCTTAATCATCAGCAATAACACTTGAAATTGATACGGTGCCTCCAACTTTGCAGAGCACGGCCGGCTCATTTCTCAGCTGATGTACTTGGTGTCTTGTGCTATGATTTCCAACCGACTGTCCAGAACAACCGGCAGGCGTGTTTTAAAGAAGGGAGTGCTGAGCGGTGCTAGGAAGGGCTCTGGGTGGTGATGATGAGATCCACGGAAAATTTTAGTATCCAAGATACTATTTAATCTGCCTGGTGGTATATGAAGGAAGAACACGATGGATAACGTGAATTTTTAAAAATTTGTGTCCGAGTATAAAAATGAAGACTAAAGCCCAGTAGGAATGACCCGGGAACCTTGCTGTGCACCTCCCTGTGAACCTGGGTAATTGAGAACTCACTAAAATCCTTCTAGAAAACACGGAAAGGGGGTTGAGAACTAGCAGAGGGCTTTACTTGGCCTTTGAAAGTTCCACGCCATGTCTGGCTAAAGAAGCATCTTTCTTTGGATTATAAAAAGAAAAAAAAAATTTTTCTCCTCCTCCTCATAAGAAACCAATAGCTGTGTCGGCAAACCCTTCCACTATAAAACTTGCTAAATAGTGTTTAAAGCAGCAGGAGAGCATTTGTCTCCCCACTCTCTGTGGCTGTTTGGAATTGTGTGAGTTAAGATCATATGGCACATTTTACCATTATGTGACAAAGGAAGGCCCAAACTCTTACAATATATGAGACTCTGAGCCTATATTTAGATATTTCACTATGTAAAAAGGCAAGTTTGCAAGATGAAATTAATGGGGTGGGGGGATGTGCTTAGGCAATTCTGGAAGGTCAATCAGAGAAGTCGGGCCATTCCGTGCGGCATTCCCAGCCAGGTCAGAGACTTGGAGGTGCCTTTGTCAGTGAAAGACCCACTCGGACGTAAAACATCCACTGAGTCCTATGCTCACGTTAGAAAAGAGAAGGACGGTGCTGGAACCGCGAGCTGCCCCGTCAGGGTACCATCCTGCAGCCCTGGTTCTGATCAGTACAGAGGATCCTGTCTGGACTCACTCAAAGGTCGCCATTTGTTTTTCTCGGTGGGTTGCATTTCCACGGTTCCAGCCACTCCTGGTTCAATCTGTTGACGCACAGACCCTCGCACCAGATCAGAAGTCTGTTCTTTTTCCATCTGCTCAGCAGAATTACTGTTGTCGCAGCCCGGCGCCCCGAGAATGACATGTCTGTGCCTCTCTCCTCCGTGTCTCCAGTCTGCCATAGCAGCGACACGGCACTGCCCAGCTCCAGAAGCCACACGCACACGGTAGTCTTAACGACACGCTGTGAACCTGCCCGTAAGTGGTGCCCAGGGAGGGATACGCATCCTCTGGAATTAGCTTGAGCCGTGGAGCTCAGTGCATGCAGCAGTGCCGCCCAGGAGTGTGCGAGTGTTTGTCCACGCTGGGCTCTCCCCCTCCACCTTTATGAGGCCACCTCTACCTCGACCCTGGCCCTGCAGGGCCTCCCCATCCACGCATTCGATGGGATCCATCAGATTGGACATTCTGAATGGCCCAGCATGGGTCCCCTGCCTGCTTCCTGGTCCAGCCAGCTGTGGCTACAGAAGTGGTTTTGTGTAAGACACTCTGGGAAGCGTGCACCTGGGAGCAGGTGGAGAGCTGGATCCCCCAGGGGTTCTGAGACTCCTAAACACCTGCTCTTCCTAACAGTGGCCCTGCCTTCATGCAGGACGTCTCATTATTCATTTTTAAATCTGTCAATTTTCCTCCCCGAGAACAAACTCCAGCTTCCTGATCCCTTAGAGTCAGGTGTGGCCCTGTGACTCCCCTCAGCCAGTGGGGAGCTGGGGACAGCTGTCACCTGTGAGCGGAAGTTGTGGGAGCTCTTGAACTCTTGCCCTTTGTTCCTTTCTTCTGGCAAAAGGAAGAGATGCTAGTGCTCACTGCCATTGTCAATGCGGTGTCATCGAGGTTTGTCATTTCGTATGACACCTTCTCCTACTCTGTGGTTATGCCGTGGCGACTCTTGATTCCACGGTGTTCTTATAAAGAGTGTTGATGCTTCTGTCTTAGTAGGTGGTTCACTTGGGCCAGCTCAGGCTGAGAGCGAGGCCAGCAGCCCACATCTCCCCCTTCTCCTGCCTTCCTTGCAAGCTGCCAGCTCTGCTCACGTGAGCGCCGTCCAGGAGTCTGATGGCCCTCTGATCTGGCTGTCTCCTCTCTGGGACTCTTGTCACTTTCTAGCAGCACTGGTTGTCTTGATGGGTCAGGCCAGAAAGGTGGCCGCTGTTTCGTGGAATTTCAGTCCATCCATACTGTGACCTGGAGCTGTTCTCTGCAGAAGGGCAGTCTAGTAGGACCTACAGAGCCACAGTGGAGAGGGAGCAGACTCTGTCCAGGCTGAGGGCCCACAAGGAGGGCTTGAAGTAGACTTCTGGGTAGAAAGCCATTGAGGCATATTTGTCTCTTCACTATAACTTACACTCATACTGACTGATCAGCCCACTAGAACAATCCAGAATGTTACTGTTTAATCATTTCCCACTATGCTTATGAAACCTGCTCAAGGACTAACAAATTTCCACAAATCTTTTTGATTCTATGAGATTTGCTTTTCCTACTTTGCCTGTTCAGATCCTGCACATGGTATTCTTTCCTTCTCCATTTTCTCTGCAATCATAAAAAAGGTAATATTTCTTAAATTTGAAACATATTCTTGATTCCGTGGTGCATGTTCCTGCACAAGGAAACAAATCAGAGGATAGACTTGGTGTGCATGTGCCTTGGGTAAGTCATTTCTTGCTGTCCACACAGTCCCCACATCTCGAAATGAAAAAATCTTATGCGTCATAGCTCAGATGTTTCTTTCTCCTTTAAAATTAAAATTAGTCCATGATTCATCGAAAAATTTTTGTGTCACTCTGGAACCCTAAATGATGATTCAATTTACAAAAATGTGATTTATATGCAAATTTGAGGGAAATGGGTCCCTGGATAGGGTCATGGTGTGTTTTCCCTTCCAAAGATCCTGTTGAAGAATATAATTAAAGTAAAAAAAAAATTGATATAATCTCATGTATATTTTAAATTCTAAAAGTAATTGCACTATCATGGCTTCAAGGTCAGGCTATCTTCTAAAAGTGCTCATTACCAGGTTCTTAGCCTTCTTTCAAAACCAACACGGGCCCAGTCTAAGAACATGTCAAGAAAGGTCAGTAGATGCCGAGGTAAATCAATTTGCATAGGCGGCAAAAATGAGGGGAGTTGTTCCCACGGCTTCTAATAAAAGCATAGAGATATGTAAAACATGAGAGCTCGTTTGCAGAGGCAAACACAATACAGTGATCTATAAATACTTCATAATCCCAGCCCCACGAGCGCTCATTGTTTGGTGGTTCTCTCTATTATGAGTAATCATGGGTTGCTTTCTGTTTGCTTCTGGCTTTTCCTGCTCATCGTCTCTGGAACGGCACCCACTCAGTTCTTCCTTGTTCACCTCCTCCTGGTGCGTGGAGGGTCCACGCAGTCGTCGGACAAGAACTCAGATGCATGCAGAGCTGAACGTTGAACACACAGGGTGCCTCTCTAGAGTCGAAGCACATGGTCCAGGAGACCTGGAAACCAGAGGTGAAGTCCTCGGTAGGGTCCCTGTGAAATAGCCTAGCTCCTGTCCAGGTCCAATGGGTAGTGCTATGGACTGGACCTGGTCTGTCCCCCTCCACCACTCCTGTTGAAAGGTCCTTCTGGACTGAGAGGAGGGCCAGAAGACGTGATCAGATCATTAAGAGGGTTGGGTGACTGGATTAGTTACTCAGAGCAGTTTATGATAAACCAAGGCAAGCCCCCGTGTGTTGTCTCTTCCATGAATGCCCACTCGCCCTTCCACTTCTCTCCATGATTCAAAGTAGCTTTAGGTTCCCGCCAGAAGCCAAGCAGATGTTGGCACCGTGTTCTCAGACTTTCCAGCCTCTAGAATGGAATGCTAAAACAAACCTCTTTTCTTCATAAATTACCCAGTCTCATGGATTCTGTTATAGCAACAGAAGACAGACTAAGACAGGGAGGTATGTTGCTTCTTGAGTGGTGGGAGAGCGTGAATGACTCACCAAGAATTGGTGGGTATGTACAACATGACCCTGCTTTGCTCAGAAGGGGGGCCCACAGCTGCTCTCTTTGTACAACATCCTCTCCTCTGTTCTTGTTAACAGCACATTCACTTTCCCTGGGAGAACCTTGCTCTCTACCCTAAATTCGGGGATCTGGGTGAAGCCACCCAGTTGTGGATCCCCATTGCAACACTCCAAGTTCCACCCTGTGGCCATAAAGATAGACTCAGAGATTGAATCCTGGGGCAGCTACTGGAATCACTAGGTGGAAGGAGAGGATTTTGGAGTCCCCCTCTTCACCACACACACAGGAGGAATGACAGTGTGTCCCTCGGGTCCATATGGCTGCCCCACAAAGGGGACTGACAGAGAGGGCCCAGCCCAACACGAGGCATAACTGAAGGCCAGCCTGCACTTTCCCAGGTCCTTGGTTTCTAGAAGAGTCACCCCTTGGTATCTGGGGGGGGACTAGTTCCAGAACCTCTGCAGACACCAAGTCCAGAGATGCTCAGCGCCCTCTCCTGAGTGGGGTGACATTCACACATGGCATGTGCTCTCTTCCTGTGGACTTAGGTCATCTCTAGACCTGTAAGACCCAGCAGGGTGTGAGTGCTGTGCAGCTAGCTGCTCTCTGTTGGTGACTGTGCCTGCTGCGCTCAGAACGGGGCACTTTTCTGAGATGCGGTGTTGAGCAGAGGTTGATGGGCTCTGTGGAGGCGGATCCCGCAGGACCCCAGGGCCAGCCACACACCCTCTTCCCTTTGCTCCAGCTGGATGGAGTGGGGCTTCCTCTTCCTGGTCAATGGAAGAGTCCTGAGGAATCCCAAAAGGCAAAATCACATGCTTCAGAATGCAGAGAAAAAGAAGGGCGCAGAGTCGTTGGTGAAATGGAGGGAAGGGAGAAAGAGCTGCAGTTTTGAGGGGAGCTCTGAATGTCCCTGGTAAAACAACGGAAGCCAAATTAGGAGATGGTTAATACAGAAGAAAAAAAAAACAGGAATGTGTTCAGATCTCTGGGGAAGGACCAGTATGTTTTGGGGAGGGTGCGGGTGGGCTTCCGCATCCTGGTGGTGTCTGATGCTAACGCTGGGCTTGGCCACGTGGTGCTGATGTTGTTCTGATTACTGCTATTTCTTTACATGTGCACGTGTGTGTGAGAAATGGAAATTCCAGTGGCCCATTTCAGAGTACAGCGGTTAGCCTTATGTGTGAAATGGAGATGTCGGGGAGGCAGCTGGAGGGGAAATGGAGCAGAGTAGAAAGTGACAGGCAGTTGACCTGTACAACAGCACCACAGTCTACAGATGTGGCAGACCCCAAGTCCACGCACCTGAACAGCCCTCGACAAACAGGAGGTGGGGCAGGGGTCGACCTGACCGAGAGAGAGAGAGAGAGAGAGAGAGAGAGAGAGAGAGAGAGAGAGACTCTGTGCTGAGACAGTAACTTAGGTAAAGAACTGCACGTGTGTCAGAAGGCATTTACCCAGGAAGTCGGTCTTGCCACAAGGGAACAAAGGGAGGTGGGAACAACTAAAGGTATGCTTCCTTAAATAGCCCTACAGGAGACAGGACCACCTAGGCAACGTCCAGGAAGACCGTGCATCCCACAGCACTCAGCCAGCAAGGAGCCAGGTGAGCTAACTTGCTGCTCATCACGCCCTGGGAGTCCCTGGCCACTAGTCACCTGGTCTCACAGATGTCATGAAAGCCTCGCTTTCCCTGTACCTTGGTCTCTCAGTCCATTCTTCCGGTTGGGACAGGTGAGCATGTTTCTCATACATCTTATTCTTTCAGGCATAGATTACACATTTCAGTTTTCCTAATGCTAAGAAATTTGCACAGGGGATGGGAGGGGAAGGGCCAGGTGGATTACAGGTACCACACTGAACTAGGTGGGAGGGACATGTCCCAGCCATGGGCAGCTCGGCAGCCGGAGGCCTAGTTCAAGGTAGGTAGTCCATTTGGAATATTTCCAACACAATGAGATGATCACGTTGGAGAGATGGAGATGCTGATGACCCTGCTTCGATCATGACACATTGTAAGTCTCTCTACCAAAAAAGTCACACCTGTAAGTGTGGCCATGGGTATGTGTCAATTAGAAATGCTTTTCAGACCTTGCTCAAAGTCCCAGAGCTGACAGACGGGCAGTATTATTACTGACGTCACAAGGTCGCGAGGGCTCAAGTGAAGCAGACCCCTAGGAGTCTCGCATCAGGCCTGGGACATGGCGGGAGCTCTACGCCTGTCCACCGTGGTCATGATCGTGGCCCAGGGGGTGGAAGGATCATATCTGATGAAGAGTGTTCAACACTCCGCTCCAATCCTGGCAACCAGCAAGTGCTTATTTTGATGATTTCTATCATTGTTTTCACTGCTTAATATGCTTTGAGGCCAACACATCTCCTTGGGAGCAGGTCACCCTTTATTTGTGGGCTCAGCTCTCTGTCTCCTGCCCTTCAGGCTGTTCACCAGCCCCAAGTTGCGAGCCTCTCCATAGGAGTGTGCAAGAGTTTTAACTGATAACGGTGCTGGCCGCTGTGCACATGCAGCTAAAGTGAAATGTCGAATCCCACTCTTTGATGGCACTCCAGCCACCCGCCCTGGCTCCTTGGTCTTCTGGGGCAAGTCACACTGGTGTGGGCTGCGTGCTGAGGACATTCCCATTCTCAGGCTGGGCCTCACAAGGTGGCCTCCTCTTGATCCACTGACGGTTGTCTGAGGTCCCCCGGCAGCCCGTACGTACACTCAGTCAGAGCCACCTGGAGGGAAGCCAGGAGCCTGTGACAAGTCTCACAGTTTGGGTCATGAAATCAGAGTGGCAGAGCGTTGGTCAGATGAACGCCCTCCCTGGGCACCCTGGCCTCTGCTCCAGGGCCTCTTCCTCAGCAAGGCCCTTGGGGTCCCTCATCACAGGCTGCAGGAGCCAGCAGCAGTGGCTGTGTGTTCTGAATGTCCTGCTCCCCAGGGTCAAGAGGGACCCCTTGGAGGAACTTCCTCCCACCAGGACCCCTCAGGCTGGCCACCGTTCTCCTGGGACTGCCCTCTGTGGTTCTTGTTCCTCCTCTTCCTCCTCCTCCTTCTTCTCTTTCTCTCCCTCCCTCTCTCTCTCTCCCTCTCTGTCTCTGTCTCTCCCTCTCTCACTCCCCCTCTCTCTCCCTCCCTCC